AGTGTTCTCAGATACTAGGGGTGCTCCGATCAGGATTTTTGAGGCCAATCGCCAATCACAGAAAGCATTATCTACCGATCACCGGTTCCGATCTTTTAAAGCCTTCTTTTTATAATTTATAACTATTTATAGTGATACTCCAATCAGGATTTTTAGACATTTATTCAGGGCCTGAATTTCATTTTTTAAAATTAATTGAAAATTTTCTTCTAGATTTATATATTAAGTTGCTCAAGCAAGTGGCAAAACATTTAAACTACTTTTCTTACGTTATCACAGACTTCCCATTGACAGAAATAGTCAGCTCTACTGCCTTTCCTTTTGCATTGAAATCTTCATTACAAGCAATCCTGTGGTTCATAAAGAACTTTATTTTCCTACCTCCACGAGTGCCATCTATTATTGCCTTGTTTATCTAAAAGTGCTCTTTCCCTTTAAACCTAGCAAAAAAGCCATATGTGTTGACTGTGAAACACAGTAGACTTTAATTATATGCATTTATGTAATTACTACATTTTCGTGTCAATCCATGTTCATATTTACTGCAAAAAATGCGCTGTTACTTTAATTCAGCGCTTGCAGGCAGCAAAAATAGACTTGGTGCGGAAACTATCTCTACACTGCTGCAGACGCACCGCTCGTGGAACGCACTGCCAGACCGTAACCGTGTGCAGTGTTGCACGCTTTATTAATCCTTTAACATGAGCGCGGAAAAAATACACACCACATACGCACTGCAAACGGAGTAATGTGAACCTGGCATTGTGTGTATACGCTGCGAGTGTGCATGAGCGCACGGTCTTCAGGAGGGCGTAGCGTTGAATGGTTAAACACTGGCAAGAATTAAAAAGTAATGCAATTTATAAACTTTAGTGACGATGTGACACTGCCTCGATTGTGCAAGTGACAATTCCTGTGTCATCTGTGCAGCATGCAGCTCGCTTATAGACAGACGCGAATCACGCGATGTGGTGATTTGAAGACATTTGAGTATTATGAGAGAGAAAGGGAGAGCCCGCGCTGATTCACTCACGCTGGTTGTGAAATTACGTCTCACACAAGGCTTTCAAATTACTTTATAAGTTATTTAATTAAGAAATATGAAGGTGAGTACCTAACCTTCAGCATTATAATTATTTCACCCGCGCCGGACAGAGACGGAGACAGTGCCTCTGCATGTCGTGCCAAACCTCTCACGACAGCGTCATCAGCTTGAGATCGGTTTTTTGAGATCGTCCTTTTTAGAGACCACCGATCAATCATCCCAAAGCGATTATCTGCCGATAGTGATCAGTAGCCGATCAATCGGAGCACCCCTATCAGATACCACCATTCATTCAAATAGTTTCTTTTGTAGAGGCTTTTGCGTCGCAGTCAGTACTGTTGGAGACCCTCCTGGCAACCTGAGTCCTCCACCATTACCTATTTGTTAATTTCCCTTTTTTCCCCATTTTGAAAGCCACTTATATTGACATTGAACTTCCGAGCTTGCTGGAAGAGCAGCAGCTTGGCTCTGAGTGTCAGTTCTTGGTCGCAGAAACACAGTGGCGGTTCGGTTAATATACCATGAAATGCATAATTCCTGAAGTGGGATAAAAATAGAACAAGCTTAGTTTTATTGCCTCAAGGCCTTGTTCTCAAAGGTTCCTGGCTGCTCAAGGAACACTGAGGTTGTGCAGGGACTAAACTACTGTGTGACAGAAAATGTGTGAGAGACAGGAAGCACGAAAGGAGAGAGAGTAGACCGAAATGATTGTTGCAGTTTAATAAATGTCATAGATTTTCTTAATTCACACCAAAATATACAGTATCTCACAGAAGTGAGTACACTCCTCACATTTTTGTAAATATTTTATTATATCTTTTCATGTGACAACACTGAAGAAATGACACTTTGCTACAATGTAAAGTAGTGAGTGTACAGCTTGTATAACAGTGTAAATTTGCTGTCCCCTCAAAATAACTCAACACACAGCCATTAATGTCTAAACCGCTGGCCAAAAAAGTGAGTACACCCCTAAGTGAAAATGTCCAAATTGGGCCCAAAGTGTCAATATTTTATGTGGCCACCATTATTTTCCAGCACTACCTTATATGTTGAACTTCCAGTGACCAGTATGAGAGAGTGAGAGCAATAACACCAAATTTAACACACCTGCTCCCCATTCACACCTGAGACCTTTTAACACTAATGAGTCACATGACACCGGGGAGCAAAAATGGCTAATTGGGCCCAATTTGGACATTTTCACTTAGGGGTGTACTCACTTTTGTGGCCAGCGGTTTAGACATTAATGGCTGTGTGTTGAGTTATTTTGAGGGGACAGCAAATTTACACTTATGCAAGCTGTACACTCACTACTTTACATTGTAGCAAAGTGTCATTTCTTCAGTGTTGTCACATGAAAAGATATAATAAAATATTTACAAAAATGTGAGGGGTGTACTCACTTCTGTGAGATACTGTAGTTCATTTGTTTTTATTTTACATGCTTATCTTGTCATTTGTTCTAAATGCAAAATGAATGAAATATTGAACTGTTTAAGGGGCAGTTTGTACCGAATGTGTTTTTGCATTTAGAAAAGTTATACAGAGTACAATGAAATTGAACAAAACACAGCTTTTTAAAACTTTCTTTAACTCAATACTGTTCATACCATTTCAACATTGACTCCATTTGCCTCCAATCTTTTGAAGTGATTACCGCACAATTTGATCATTACGTGGCCTCAAAAACCAAAACAAGATGGAAATGGATCATGTAAATATGATATATGCATTGAGTTTAATGACACAACTTTGAAGGCATACCATAACATTAAGAAGAATGTATTGAAGCATTGAACTAGTTAGTCATGCAAACAGAGCTATTTATATATATATTCTATATATAAAGACAGATTTGTTTTTTCTTCATGAACCTGAAATGAATTGCTGTTGCCCTGTTTTATTCCCCTCTGAATCTAGCACACATTTCCACTATCTGTGTGGGAAGATCTACAGACCAATGTGATTAGACTCATAATCTACCTGAACAGGAAATGAGAATCAGCTCACAATGAACGTTTGTTCCTCATCCTGAATATGCTTGACATTTAGCTGCAAATGAGCCCTGCAGAAGTAATCAACGAAGTTGTTTGTCAGTTCCTCGTTTTTAGCTTTAGCAACAGAGAGTGCATCCACTCTGCTGCGTACTGTATGTGCTAGGCAGCTTGTATAAGAACAGACTCAGCCCTTGGTTGACCCAGTGGTGCCACAGAGGGGTGAAATACCAGCTGCACTGATGGGATGTTACTGCAAGAAAGAACAGCCTCAGGAAGAGTATGGGTACTTGAAATGACTCTGAAATTATGCAGAGCTGCAAGCTATTGATTGACATTTTGATTGTTGCAGGTCAAACTAGTTAGTGTTAGACTTGCTTAAATCAGTGATGCTATTAAAATGCCTTTGTTGTAACACTCTTATTAGCTTGTGGCACAAAAATTGAAAACTGGTCTATTTACTGTAGGAAATGCATTGGACAAAAAGTGCATAAAAATTGTGATAATTGAATAATTTTTTTACCAAAAAAATTGTATATACAATTCTTTAATGTAATTCTTTATTCACTTTTGTTTATTTATTTAGGTAGTCCAGCAGTAATTAACACAAAACTTAGCATAGAATGCCATCATGAGCTTATGCAAGGGTAAAAATCCCCCTGGACAAGTCTGGTGTTAACTGCTTTGCTCTTGCGCTCCCTGGTAATGGTCAAGGATCACTACCCGCAGGGATAGAATCGGCAGCCTTCCGTTTGCAATCTTCCAGATTGGCCAAAAGATATGCAGTCGAGTGGCCCTTAGGACATATTTCCACCAGATGTTTCATGTCAAGCGGCTTGTGTATCATAGTGACCGTATTAACAAAGGTGGGCTTCAGATTATCCCCTGACCATTGGAGACCCCCCACCCCCCCCCGCCAACCCACGTACTGCGGAATCTAATTGGATGAGATTTAGCTGCTAAACGCTATTGCACATACTGAAGTGCTCCTTGTTTAAACTGTTGGCATTTATGTGTGTTTTTGATGCTTGACTAGTGTGTTTGCTAATGGCACCTTGCTGCTCAAGAGATTCCCAGTATGGTGCTTAAGGGAAAGAGAGTGAGCGGAAGAGCGTCGGCTGAGGTACTCCTGTAGTCAGTGGGGCGTTTTCTGTGACTGCGCTGAGCTCTGTTCACATTTACACTCCACTTGTGTTCTAGATTTCCTATTTCTGGCACAGACAATTCTCGCATATTACGATAAGGTAGAGTAACTCCAAGCAGTCCCACTAAACAAATATGAGTGAAACTCCTTGGTAACATTTAAATAAAACGACTCTTGCCTTAAGTAATGAAGCTTCTCAGTAACGTGCTGTGCTTACTTTGCTATATGGAGGTGCTTGTGCAGCCAAAGTGAGGCAGCGGAACCCTAAATTTCTTGCCTCAAAAAATTGGCCGTGGCAAATAGATGCAAATAAAATCTGTTTGCAGAGAATGTTTGGCGAATCGTGAGTAAGGAAGGAGATTTGTGGGTCAAAATGACAATTTACTCTATAACATTATAAACCGCAGCAACAGGCAGCGAGTTTGCTTGCCTCAGCACTCTGGATTTCAGCGGCTTTTGGGGCTTCTGAAAGTGTCAGGAATATTTGCCTCTCTCACTTTCCTGAGGTAATAACGGTGCCTGGCAGAACGGTGATTTAATCATCTCTAGGAACCACTCCCTGACGCGGTCAGCCATCATCCTGTGAATTATATGAAATATATTCCCTATGTGGGGAGACGACCAGACCTCAATTTCAGGCTTTGCTTTTGTTTTGACTTAATCCTCTGGGGCGCTTTTTTCCTGCTATGTTATTTTACCATTTTATCAAATAATCAGATCAACAGCTGACAGCAGGTGTGTGTTAAATTAAAACTGCTTGTTTGAGGGATGGAAAACTGTTAATTTTTCATATTTTTCACATTTTCTGTTGTAGGTAGCTAACCTTGCATGCTCCATCTCAAACAATGAGGAGGGAGTAAAGTTGGTACGGATGGCCGCTTCCCAACTGGAAACACTTTGCCCTCAGGTACGCAGCATTTCACAGATGCACCTGCAGTATGTCCACTCCACCCTCACTCCACTGTGGCTTTGACTGCTTTTTAATTTGAGCTCCAATGACTATTCCTTCATCCTGGGGCTTTGAATGTACTTGTCTTTCCATCAAAATAAACATGGTTTAATCTCAGTCATAATCTGAAACAATTGTAAATGTGTTTTGGAGGGTTGTTGCGGGGAGGACATGGGATTAATGGGTTGTTTGTGGTAATTGCAGGTGATTAATGCAGCCTTGGCCCTGGCTGCTAAACCTAACAGCAAAGTGGCCCAGGATAACATGGATTTGTTTAAGGACCAGTGGGAGAAACAGGTGCGGGTGCTTACTGACGCAGTGGATGACATCACTTCCATTGACGACTTCCTCAGCGTGTCTGGTAAGCCCACGTCACAAAGTGTAGAGCTGGATCTTGGCTCTTAAATAGTGTTAAAGGGATGTTTCACCTGCTAATGAAAACCATGCTCATTTACTCTTGTGACTGTGTTGGAAAAAAAAAAGATGCTTAACAGAATATTCATGCTGCTCTTTTACCAACAAGTACCATAAAATGTGAGGGGGGAAAAAACTAAGCAAAATTTAAATTATTCACTAAAATCTTTTTATCTGGTAGCTCTCATATCTCTTTAGCCCTTCCACATACACTATGGTTCAAAAGTTTGTAGTCAATAAGATAAAAAAAAAATGTTTTTTTGTCCAAGGCTGTGTTTATTTGTCCAAAAATAGTGAAATAATTTAACTGTTGTGTATTTTAATATATTTTAAATTGTAATTTGCTCCTGTGGTGGCGAAATTGAATTTTTAGTAGCCTTTACTTCAGTCTTCAGTGTCACATAATCTTTCAGAAATCATTTATTCTGATTTGGTCCTCAAGAAACATTTTGTTTTTGTTACCAATGTTAAAAACAGCTGTACATGCTTAATTTTGTGGAAACAAAATATATTTTTTCCACAATTTTTTAAAATGAATGGATAGTTCAAAAGAACAGCATTAATTTGTAATATAAATATTTTGTTACTTTATACATGTCTTTTACTGTCTTTTACTGTCACTTTTGATCTATTTAGTGCAGCTTTGCGGAGTAAGAGTATTCATTTCTTTCATTTGTAAGAGTTTTAAACCCTTTCTGACAAATTATTCTTCAGTAGTAGCACAGTCTCACCAGATGTCATAAAGAACAAGCTTTTTAAATAGTGAAGAATGATTTCAACCTTCTTCAACCTAATGATAGGCTGCTTAGCTCCTGTCTGTTTGTACCGGACCCATAATAGCTTAATGCAGAAGAGGTGAAAAGCCTTTACACCTACATCTCTATCAGCAACTGATGACACGGGTCACTTCCGATCATGGGCCGTTTAGTGGTCACGTTTGAAGAAGTTCATTAGCTTCTCAGGAGGAAACAAAAGCACTTGAGTGTCAATTCTCTCCTGTGGAACTGACATTCTGTCACGAGTGTTAAAGACTTACCATTCCCCTGTCAGACATGGCCTTTAAGAGTTCTTGTTAAGCTGTAGGCTGACTGACTGACTGCCTTCACTTCCTCTCAAGGACAGATTACAGTTTACCATGTTGATTTGTATTTCCCAGACACCCATTACTAAACTGAGTGTGTTTAATCTTCTTTTTCTTTTTTCATCCACCCATGTGGTTCCCATTAATGTTCTTAAGTCAGGGACAATGTAAATACAGCATGAAGGATGAGGATTTCCTGTCTTCATGCTTTGCGTTGTGGTTAGTGCTCTGTACATTGTCCAGTGTTGTTTCCTTAGTTATTTTAAATATTGTCTTCTCTTGTGAATTTTTCTTTCTTTTTGCTTTAGAAAATCACATTCTGGAGGATGTTAACAAGTGTGTCATCGCTCTGCAAGAGAAGGATGTCGACGGCCTGGATCGCACCGCTGGAGCCATTCGAGGTAGAGCTGCCCGTGTGGTCCATGTGGTCACATCTGAGATGGACAACTATGAACCTGGGGTCTACACAGAGAAGGTTCTGGAAGCCACCAAGCTTCTCACTGATACAGGTATAAACCAGAACACTATAGACCTGAAATTATTTGTGTTTTGCCATAAATGTCTGTAGCTACAGCCAATTTTTGTATTTATGTAAAATAAGCCAAAATCTGTTGTTTTTGTAGTAGCGGTTTTAGTTTAGCATTAGTGTTTTTACAATGTGTAACATGTTATTGGCCTTTTCTTTTATGAAATGGTGGAAAGGGCAGTATGCATGAACAACATTTAATAATAAGAAACCGTAAATAGAACTAAAATCATAACTCATAAACATAATTGTTTATGATTGACGTGTTATTTGGTGCAATAATATAAATGTTAATTTATCATTGTCTAACAGCTGCTTCGAACATGCTTTATCCAATCTTAACTTTGTCAGAACTGTCCATTTAGTATTATTTTTGGTGATGGCACTTGTGTATGTGTGATTAATTTCTATTTCAAATCCATTGTTCTTGTTTAATATCTGAGAATGCTGCACAGGCATCCAAAAATAGCACTGCTGCCATCTGGGCCAGAATTTCTGTGAGTGGGTTTGAAGGGTGTTGGTACAAGAGTGCTGATTTTAAAATAAAAGTAACTTTATCTACTTCCTCACAAGGTTGCAAAACATAGCCATGCCTTTGATGGCCAAAAATGCTGTCTGGGTAGGCAGCTCACTAAGATTTGAGACGCTGCCTGTGACCAATATCTGCACTCTAGCTTTATTAGGAAGATAAAACATAATAGTACTTTTTTTTTTTTTTTTTTGGTAGATAAAACGTAATATTACTTTCATGTGCGGCTACATAATAGCCTTCGGGAACCTTTTTAAGACTAAAATCACAGAGATGGTTAATTCCTCTGGGACACAGCATAAGATTTTCCTGTTAATTTGTGGACTTTCTCTTGGGAAATGCTGTCATATTTAGTGTACTCTGTTCAGCTTTGCGCTAAATCAAATAGCTGGGCCATATTGGCAAAGAAGAGGATGTTATGTCACTAATGATTGCTTTATTTACTGTAAAAACCCATGCCCCGTAAGCCTCAAGGCTCACCGAAAACCTTTTGTTAATGCAAATTCCAAGTATTCACTTTATTTCCAGTGTACATCTTTCTATTCAATCTCTTCCTGCTACTGTGCTCCCCAGTGCAATACTAAATTGTGAATGAGTATTAATGTAGATGTGTTCAGTGCCTATTGGGAGGTACTATTATTTTATGGCTGGGAGGTGGTGCGTAGCTGGTGGGCCGGCTTCAAGAAGTGGTTGGGCAAACTGCTATAGATCATGTTGAATCAGGTGAATTAGTCAACCAAATTTCATGAAGGTTTGGTCTCAGATGGTCCAGTCTGAATACATATCTCTAGTTCTTGTTCAGCCCAAAATTTTGTATGAAATGCAGCAGAGATAAGCTAGGGGCAGGAACCATATTCTAGCCATGAAAGCTTGCAATCACCACCCCAATCCAGTTAAATTTTTTTAACAGCCAGTCTTTGTTTGGTTTACTACTTAAAATCTTTTAATTTGGTTCATTAAGCACAAAGCTCTAACTGTGGTCTCCAGGCCGGATGATATTCATACGTGTTGCTCACACTCAATGTCATTAAATATCCTCTGGGAATAAATTGGTAAATGGCATTCACAAAACACATAGGAAGCAACCCTCAAAAGGTCTCCGGTTCCCAAAGCCTTTGAATGCAGAGAGAGTTTGTGTGGCTTTGAGGTCTTGCTGCCACCTGTCTTGTGATTGATTCGTTTAAGGGTGCCTCTGGATTAAGTGTACTCATGTGCCGTTCTCGTAGTCACGTAAAGCCTGATTAAAAGCTGCCTTGAGCAGTCATTAAAATCCAGCAACACATCCACTGCAAATTTCTACGTTTACTCAGCTCTGTTTCAGGCTCTGTTTCCGAATTTGAATTATATATTTCTACAGACACAATGTCTTGATTGAATTGCACTTCAGCTCACTCATATTTGCTGAGTTGAAACGGAATTGTTTCCAGCAAAATTAATCTTTTTTTTTTTTCCTTTTAGTTTGCTGCTAAGTGTTTCTGACCTTGCTGTTTGTCCTTTCTGTGTTTGTGTGTGTTTACAGTGATGCCACGTTTCACTGAGCAGATAGAGGCAGCCGTGGAGGCTCTCAGCGCCAACCCAAGCCAGCCAGTGGACGAGAACGAGTTCATTGATGCCTCGCGTCTGGTATATGATGGCGTGAGGGACATCAGGAAGGCGGTGCTTATGATCAGGGTGAGCAGAAGCCTTTAAATAGAAAAAAAAAATTTCTCTTTCAAATATTGAAAGAATTCTCATCCTCAGGTGAACTCTGTAATATTTTCTTTCTCACATGAAACACTAGTTAGATAGTAGGGAAAACATGTAAGTTGTTGTTTTCCATACCACAGAAGGGCTGATTACTATTACAAAAAAAATGCACCAAAAAAGCGCAATAAAATTAGTAAAACTTGTCCGGAGTTAGAGGCAAGAAGTGGGCGCGGTTAATTAGTGGTTTGCTCTATGAGGAAATATATATATATAATTCAGAATAATACAGCATTTAAACTGAACGCGTGTTTGAGAGAAAAAAAAACGAAAAGCCTGGTGTGCATACAGTATATGCGCTGCCTTATTAGAAACTAATAGTGAATTTGTTTTGGGCAAGTGGTAACCTAATTGAACAGATTTCCCTCTCCATGTGCACTATTACTGGAGCTGTAGTTGTCTGAGGGTTAATGGTCTTTCCCTGAGCTGAACTGTAACATTGGACAGATGGTTGCCAGCATGCAGTGAAGCATTAGCTAACAGTCTGACAATAATCAGACAACAGTCCGCTCCTGCCATGTGGGGAAACGCACAAACCCTCAACACCACTTCGCCGGAACATCTAGGTTAAAGGCATTAATTGAGGCAAATATCATCTTTTGTAGTTCCAGACTAACGAGTTTTCAATTAATTGCGAAGATAATGTACACTGAATTTGAATAATTGGCTCATAAGGAAGTGTGTTGGAATGTATTAGCGCCTTTAGTTAAAGCAAAGAGTGCGGTCGCGACCCGGATAATGAAGCCGGAGAAGCATTCGATTAAAAGGCCTCCGGAAATTGTGTGGCACATACACGCATTAGTATTGTTTGCTATTAATAATTGTGATCGCATCATATTTCTTTGCTGCCTTTGTACGTGCATACTTTGTTTGAATACATCCACCAACCCTCTCTTTTCAAATGTCAAGTAACAAGACTCGTTTGATGCAGATGAAACTATCTGGCTTGTACCGAAATGTTCATTAATAACCAAGGGTTTAAATTAGAATAAACACAAAATTAGATGGGGGATCCATTGCGCTGTATTTGCATTATAATACGTAATAGATTTTTTAGAAAGGGGATTTAATTAGCATTTTCCCCTTTATTTTTCAAATCCTAGGAGACCTGTAGTGCCTCATCCATTTTCCACTTCAGACATCCTTCTCTAGTTATCTAGATTGATTCAATAGATAAAACAAAAGGCCCTCTGGCAGACAGGATCTACTTGTTTGTTTGTTGGTTTAACATGAGTGTCGAACATGTCCCCGACGTTGAAATGCTTCATGCGTTGAGTCGAAAGGAGAGGTGTGATCTTTGCTATCTTGTCTTGTTCCTTTCTAACTGTATAGTATTTTTTAGCGCTTCAGGGCCCTTGTTCTGAGACGACTTGTCCGAACCGATAAGAAAGCCACCCAAAGGTCTGGTGATCGCAGGGGTTTGTTAGAGAGCACCGTTTTAATACACCCTGCAGACACTGAGATAGCAAGAAAGAAAAATTCATACTTTAATGTTTGACTTTCAAGTTGATTCCCTCAAAACGCACGCCATGTCAAGCTCATACTTTTAGACAGAGCTTGCGCGCTAGCCAATCAGCCAACACTAGTGCCCAGTGGGCATCAACCTCTCCGCCGCACAGGAAATCCTCGATCGGAAGAGACAAGTGTGCGACTTACGCTACTTAAGTTGGACAGAGTCTTTAACCTCGGTAAGTACTGCACTCGTAGTCCTCGCTGGCCGGCCGTCACCTAATATTTGACAGGCAGGCAGCCCTCGACTCCTCTGTTGAGGGGATGTTACTGGTACTAATGGCCCTTCCTAGCACAGATCCTCATAGCTGCTGAGTGGTTACTGTAGCTTGCAAAGGTACCTCACCTTACCTACACTGCTTCAGGCATCTCAGGCTGTTTATTCAAATGCCCACTATTGCTCACTATTGCCCTAGTTTATAGATGTGATGCATTCTCTTGAATAGCAAGGTAGATATTTTTGAGCTGTCTGCAGTTCCTATCGCTTGGCACAAGGTAGATCTACATTAAATTATTACTAGATTTATTTGAAATAGAAATTTTAAATTCTTACAAAAAAAAAAAAAAACGTATTGACGCCAAACTTTTAAAGGTGGTGACATCATGAAAATCTGACTTTTTCCGGTTTTAAAGGGGTCATATGATGCGATTTCAAGTTTTCCTTTCTCTTTGGAGTGTTACAAGCTCCGATTTATTTACAACAGAACAGCACAACCCAGATGTTCATTTGTGCAACGCGTTTTATGGACGACAGTTTTTTTTAACCTAGAAGAGTACAAGGCTGGCTGTGCACAAAGTGAGTGAACTGCCTGTCAGAAATCATAGCACGTCAGCTGTCTTAACCGCGGCTTGTGTACTGCATGTCTGTCATGCGACTCTGTTGCTCTTTCGGGCTTGACCTGATGGTAAAGCTAACGACATTATTAACTGTCTTGATATTTACTTTGAAAGCTGAAGCTGTGATTATGGTAAGGGGCGTTACATTTCCGACGCGTGCTTGTGGTGTTCGGCCAATCACAATGCACTGGGTCAGCTGACCAATCAGAGCAGACTGCGCTTGTCAAAGGAGGGGGCTTTGTTGAAAACGACGCATTTGAGAGAGGCGGGGCATAGAGGACCTACAATAATGTACAGTATTTGAAAAATAATGTGTTTTTTGAACATTAAAGCATGTCAACATATTCTGTTACACCAAATACACAAAATAATGATCTTTAAAATAGCATCATATGACCCCTTTAAGTGCTATAATCGGGTCCCCCCAGTGCATCTACCAACCCAGGAAATGTGAAAAAGATTAACCCAGTAACTTTGTTTTGGTAAGCCTTTTTCTGCAAGCGTCTGAAAAAATGTGTGTCAGATTTCGCTCCCTTTGTGACGTGGCAAAGGGATCTTATTATAATATCACCGCCCGTTTATCTGCACGTTTCCACTCACGGTGCCGCCATTCTTGTTTTCACAAGCGACAGCGGTGTACCAGTTCTAGTGCCATGGCAAAAGTTTGAGCGAAGCATGCTAACTGTTCTATCATTAGCTGCACAGATGAGCACAGAACACTATTTAGTTCCCGTCCACACGGAGACGCGTTTAGCTGTATACGCATACATTTTGTATCGTATAGGCGTTTCATCCACACGGATCCGGCGTTTTGGGAGAGTGAAACTGATATTTTTTTAAAAACCGGGTCCCAGAGTGGATAAACCTGAAAACGCCGCCCTTGCGTTTTCGGTTTTGTGGTTTTGTGTGGATGCAGATTTTTCTTGAGACGAGGGGAAAAAAAAGATCGGATAGGGAAAGCTCTGGCTTCATGTGGACGTAGCCTTAGAGTCCCAGCCTCAGAGGAGAAGAGAGCAGTGGATTTATTTATTTACTGTATATTACGCTGCTGCCACACAGATCTAATATAAACATGCGATTTCTTTCCCAGCTGTTTACCTTCACAGACATAAGACTGTTTTTGTAACTCATGTGTTTTCAACATAAACTTTTGTGTATTTGACAGTTTAAGCGCAATAAGACATGAAGAGAACTTAGTTTAGTACTCGCATGCTGAGTTCTACGAGGACGTGAACGCTTTTTACAAGTTGGTATCTCGTAATCACGGTAATTATGATATGGCGTGAATGCACCTAGATTATCTGATGTACGAGCTGTAAAGGAACAGCCCTATTCTGGAAAAGGGGGTGGGGAGCAGCAGCTCATTTGCATTTAAATATACATGCACGTAAACAGCGTTTCTGCTTCCTCTCAAAATAGCCATTTTCAAAATGATATAATAAATGATCCGTGGAGTATTTTGAGCTGAAACTTCACAAACACATTCTGGGGACACCTGAGACTTATATTACATATTGTAGAAAGGGGCATAATAGGTCACCTTTAAATGTTTTAGTGTATCTATCTGTCTGTCCATCTCTTGTTCTCTATCTGTCATTCACAGTCCTAAAGTCTTGAAATTTGAATTAATTTTTATTTTACTTTCTTATATTTAAATTCAGGAATTAAAAAATAATTTGGAAGGCATTTTCACAACCCTGCTAGTGACAAGTTGTCATTTTAAAGTTTAGCACTGTTACGGTAAAATCCATTTTATGCTCCAGTGTGATTCTCTATAATACAGCAAAGCATGTTTATGAAATGAGCCTGGGCACTTCTAAACCGTCATCCACACCTTGACTGACTTTGGTTGTATGTTGTTTTGATGTCATCTTCAGCAGGCAGAGTTTTGGAATGCTTGAGGAGTCTATTATTGGAGCAGCTACATCTTGAGCCAGTCAGAATCTCCTCATAAATGGATTGTACAGAGAGTCAGATAAGCATGGCTTGCAGCACTGGCGAAATAATACATCCATATCTTCTCACATCACGTCCTTTCTCCTATCAAGCTGAAATGCATTTTCTTGTCAGTGAGGGTTCTTCCCCACCTGTCACCCCTCCCCATTCTCCACCATTTCCTTCTGCAAACAGGTCCCTCTGCTCACAAGTGCATGCTAATAGAGCAGCAGAGTTATAAGAGGCATGTTTGGCCATTCAGTGCAGGGATTAGAGAGAGAGAGTTAGTTTAGTTCAGTACAGGGAAAACGTGATGTACCCACTGCATTGGTGTGCCAGATCATTCTGTCTCTCTTTACAGCAGGCAAGTAAATATGCTTTACTGTTTAACCTTCCACCATTACATTTTCACTCTAAAAATGCATAGGTAGATTTTTTTTTTTTTTTATGCATAGGGTGCTTTCTAAGGAAAGTGTCACTTTTACTATTGCTCATACTTTGGGATTACTTAACTCCAAGTGATAAGCTTCATCTCCACATCACTTTTTGTTGCATTGAAGGATGTACTTGGACCTATCCAGGGAGTGGAATATTATTAGACAAGGACCTTGCAACAACTTAGCAACATATGCTCGGATCACTTAAGCAACCTTTTGGTCAAAGCAGTCAACCATATCTTGCTAGTATTGAGTGGCAGCACTGCTATCATTTAGAAAATGTAACATTTTATTTATTTATGCGCGTTTTATCATTTACAAAAAAAAAAAAAAAAAAAGGTGTTCGAGAAGACTGGAAATAATGTGGAGCATCATGGCTAAATATATCAGAGCACATGCATTAACCAGTAGACCATAATGGGCAGCATTTCTTACTTTTAGATGTGCATTTAAAATTTCTACTTTCTCATGGAAAACTACTGTTGATAAAGGCCCCAATATACTTTAAGCAAAATCGAAGAACGAACTGGTGTGATGTCATTTCAAACAAAATCAGGCCAAAACAAATTCTGAGGAGTGGAGTTCGTTCTGGGAGTTTGAAACAGCTTGCCTAAGCGAACAGACAAGAAGTATAGCAAAGTGCGCAGCACATATTTACTTACTCATTTACTTACTAAATGCCCTTCCAGCAGTGTGAATGGCGTCAGGATGTTGGCTTACAGTTTACCACTGCAAACGTATTTCGTACTACTTTTTAACTCAATGAAAAAGAACTTTGCTATGAGTAAATTGGGGCCTTAAGCTTATGCCGTAGTTCATAAGTTACTTGTTGAAAGAGCTTGCTAATGCTTTTCTATATCTCTCCCCACCCCTACGCTTTTCTTCTCCCCCACAGACTCCAGAGGAACTGGACGACTCTGACTTTGAGACAGAAGACTTTGATTCTCGTAGCAGGACCAGTGTGCAGACGGAAGATGATCAGCTCATCGCCGGACAGAGCGCTCGGGTGAGAGTTGGGGCTTTTGTAGTTCACATCAGAGCTTTGGTTTCATGTCTTGCCAGTGTATGGAGCCACTTAGGGAATGTCAAAAGGTGTCAAAATCAATCCTAAAATGACAACAGAATTAGATTTCTTTGTAGGTGCTTGTATGGAATCGGTCCAGGGACATAGTAATTTCCATTTTATTCAGTGTTTCTATAATAAAACTTTATCGCAGTCTATTTAAAGAGTCGAAGACAGCACTGGGAAATGGTAAACGCTCTATTCACAGGTCGGAATTGCAGCGTCACGGCCAAATCCACCTTTGCTTCACTGTTTAGCTCTAATAGCAGAGGAACTCTGAATCAGTGTTTTTAAGATTCTGTACTGATTTCGTGTCAACAGCACTCCTGATGTTGCCACCAGCGAAATAGACATCAAACCTCGCCCCCACTCTACCTCCATTCCTCCTCTCTCTCTCACCCCCTCCCTTCGCATCCTCCTCTGTTGCCTTGGTAATGCTTATGAAAATTAATCCCTACATGGCTGGAAGGAACAGTGAATGTATGTATATATATGTATGCGTGTGTATATATATATATATATATATATATACACAGTATCTCACAGAAGTGAGTACAACCCTCACATTTTTGTAAATATTTTATATCTTTTCATGTGATAACACTGAAGAAATGACACTTTGCTACAGTGTAAAGTAGTGAGTGTACAGCTTGTATAACAGTGAGTGTTTGCTGTCCCCTCAAAATAACTCAACACACAGCCATTAATGTCTAAACCGCTGGCCACAAAAGTGATTTCATAAGCAAAGTAGACAGGGTGTAAATAAGAGATTCATTGTGCAGTGCAGAGAGCTTCGTTGATTATAAATGTGAGATTGCGATGAACTAAGATGAGTGACAGCTTTTAATGATTTTTAAGGGAGTTTGTAAATGTGATACTGATTTAATACAATGCAAATGAATAAACAAGAAGTTAATATTAAGTGACTAACAATGTCTGACTATAACACTATTGTCTGATTTTGCTCTATTTCGTCGTCGAAAATAGTTTAAAACAAAGACACAGCGGAGCCGCTGCGCATCTCCATTCAAACACAGCGGTGT